AAGCCCGGGAAATTCAAATCCCGGGCTTCATTTGCAACTCTGGTTGCCTACATTACCACCCTAGTTCGAACTAGGGTGGTAGCGTAAACATACCCTAATGGACCAGTGGTTATGGCCTATTGGCTTGCATGCTGCCCACTGTTAGAAGCTGGGAGGGGAGAGTTACTGTTAAGTAATATGATGGGCTCACATGGCTGTCCTCTTGATACTTACAGATTTTTTTCACATTTAATTAATTTCTTTCTGATGAATATTGACAACTTCTCATACATAGAAAAACACTATTGTCACAACTCCATCAATCTGAATAAATTGCATGACCCTGGTCTTTTTGGATAGAGCCCCAATTCAGTGAAGCAGTTACATGGGTGTTTAACTTTAAGCTTTTGAGTAGAGGCTTCATTTGCTTGGAGCCTAGATGATGTTAACCCTTGGCTGCCTCTTTGTACAGATAAAGGTCAGAACACATTTAGTTGGACACAATATCATTTTACAATTTATTTTAGGTGAATATAGAGTAATATTTTTAAAGCTGTAAGAACATGAAAAATACACTTTCCCTTCATAAGTATGTGTTAATCCACTCTAACATTTAAATGATACACAGATTTATTATGTGTAGCTCGTGCCATGTATGTATCAATACTGCATTTTATACATCTGTATCTGGATTCTCATCTCTCTGGGATTCAAAATGGAGCTTCTGTTCAGAAGGCAGATCAGTTTTTAGAAATGGACTCAGCACAGGTTGGCTAATGAGCCTTGATTTGGAGCTGTAAATTTGTTTCACTTACGATGTTTTCTGACTAGAAATAATGACGTATCATGCTAAAAATGCTAAATATTTTCCTAGTGGGAGAAGAGTATATTTATCTCAATATAGGTTACATATTGTTTCTTATTTATGGCTAGGATGCCAGCCCAGCTGTGGGTGTTGGGAGATCAGCTGGATACTCAGTTGTTGTTGTAATTAGTGGTGCTGGAGCTGTGTTTCCAAGATTTTTTTTTAAGTCTCTGGCCTCTCCCTTCCCCCAGCCACTCCGTGATTGGAGAGAGCTCTCCCATCAACATAATTAGATTAGCCCCAACAAGCAGTGGCTGTAGTTATGTTGGCAGGAGAAGCTCTCCCACCAACACAGCTGTGCACACTGCCACTTACATCCGCGAAACTTTCATGTCACTCGGAGTGTGGTTTTTTCACATATCTGAGTGACACAGAAGTTTTGTCCACATAAGTCATAGTGTAGGTATGGTCCCTATCTCTTGATACACGGTGACTGTTAACAGACCACATCCCAAACATGCATAATTGTCCTAAAGCAGGAACTATGGTACCCCTAATGCAGAGCCATTCATTGTGAACAGTAAGAAATATGATGCTTGCTGCTGTATTATGTTAAAATCAACTATGCAGAAGGAGCTTTACCTTGTGTGGTACTATTCTCCAGGGCTTTTCTAGAAAGAAAATGAATGTTACTATTTACAGTGAACGTTTTCTATCCCTGTGCTGGCCACCAAGGAAACCAGAAAGAGAACATTGATTGTGCATCTTTTTCATCCAGTACGAGTATTTGCAGAAAAAGATTTTAAAAATTAAGGGAAAGTTTATGACTATTTTATGGCTTATGGATTATCATGTTTATTCTTATTAGGATGCTCTTGGCCCTGATTAGATCCTTGATGAAGCCACACTTTAAAAACATTTTATATTGGTTAAATTTTCCATGTTTAAAGGTCATCTAATTAGATCCATTTTACAATATTGAGTAGGGTACATGTACTTCATTGGTAGTCATGTGACTATTTCTCCTCCCACAAAACTTTGAAGCATTTTATCACTGTTTCAAATTAAGTAGTTTTCACTGTATACTGAAGAACCATAAAATTGTATTTTGCCATTTTGTTCTAGCCATGTTGGTCCTAGGAGATGAGACTGGGTAGATGAGGAGCTATCTTTTATTGGATCAACTTCTGTGGGTGAAAGAAAAGGTGTGAAGTCTTTTACCCACAGAACTTGGACCAATACAAAATAAGGGATTCAGAATGGAGAGTAGTCGACTATCTGATAAGCAGAAGCTTATCGGATAGTTGACTAGTGATGCGAGTTCCCCCAGCTCTGTCTCTGTGTGGGCAGAGGAAGTAGAGGCACAGCAGGAAACAGTGCTAGCGGGGACTGAAGCAGTCTCCGCTCATGCTGATTCTGCCTTTGAAATGTACAAGTGCTCTAGCAGGGCTCTTGCTACAGTTAAAAGACGGAGAGGCCCTTATAGAGTAATCAAATAGTTGATGGAAATCCTATTGACTATTTGATTAGTTAATCTAAATTTAACATCCCTAATACAAGACACTACTTCATTGCCTTGTGTCTTCCATAAAATTGTATTGACTGTGTGAAAATGTAATGGGTGAAGAACAATCATGGGAATGAAAATTTGAAATCAGGCTTAAAAAAATGAGACTGTGCTCTGAGAGCAAGCTTTTGAGTATTCATAGGGACACCTCTAAATAGGCAGAGAACTATCCTCTGTGCCAGTGAGGTAAGTAGTAGAACTACTGTATCTGTGTAGTAAAAACTACAGTGAGTGATTGTGTAGGAGCAGTGAGAAAGATGGAGGTAGGGATTTTTGTTATAAACATTATATAAAAAATGAGCCAAGCCTCATGCAGCTCCCTATGTCCAGGAATGGTGAACCACAGTCAATGGGAGCTCGGGTAGCTTTACTTGCAGATTCAAGGTAAAATACTTGGTCTGGTGGCCCACCAGCAGCTTATCCTGATGAGCTGCATGCAGCCCAGGGGCCGCAGGATGCTCACCACTGTCCTTGGTATATTTATATTCTTTTGCTAGAAATGTATTTAATCTGATTATGGTTAAACAGATTTCTCTCCAGGTTGGCTGAAAAGCTGAGGAATCTAAGAGCAGACAACAGTGTAACTTTCCTAAGCAGAGATAGTAATATTTGAGGGGTGATTAGTAAATTCACTGAAAAATAAGTAGTTTGAGCCAAAAAGGGAGGATTTTAAAAAATCTAAACTGTTTGTATAATTGAGAAATGAAATGATTTGACTTTTCATTTCAAAGTAGCATTTTGTTTCTACATTTAGATTTTTAAAAAAGGTAAAAAAGCCCCACTGAAAAGAAACCAAAATATTGACATTTGGGTGTGTGTGGGCTAAACACTTTGTTTGACCAAAAACCATTTATCCCCTTGCAGTGAAATAAAAATTGAATTTTAGGTTTTAAGCCAGTATTTTTATTTTTGTACTTTGGCCTCCAAACTGCAAAATCAGTTTCTCACTCAGTTCTATTCCTAACTTATTTTATTTTTAAAAAAATATGTATTGGGGGAAAAAAACAGATTCCGTGATAATTCTCCTTCTTTTTTGGGGTTGTGTGGGGATTTTTTTGTGTGCAAAACTGCAATCACTGCTGGGATAAAATAATTGCAACTGAATCAACTTTATTCATTGTTGCTGTTGATATATCTATTAGGATTTTGCTTACCTCCTAATCTAACTGTATAATAAAGCTTGCAGTTTTGTTTATAATGATGTGTGCTTTTCTGAGGCACACAAAGGCCTTTGGATATTGAGTGCCAACAATTTAAACATCATTAGTATTATTGGCCTGTATCCATCTTGGACCTCAGCAGGCAATATCTCTTGAACTCAGCAGTTTAGGACTTGGTCAGTATGCGGATGGGAGATGCCTTGGAAAAGCCAGTGTAATTTATACAGTTGTGCTGTCATTTTAGTAGGCGATACTCCTAATCAGTTCTGAGACTGAGCCAGATTATGGCTTTAGGCAGTAGCATGTTATTGAAGGAACCATCTTTAGAGGGGAAGTTGTCCATTTTTTACTAGCTGTGATCGCTAACTATTTTTTCTCTTTCTGAGAGAACAGGGTTAGCCATGACATTCCAACCATATTACAATTCGGGTAATTACTTTCTCACTATTTAAACTCCCTCTGCAAATTCAGCTGGATCTAATATTCCTGTGTTAAAGCTGTAAACAGTGTTACTTGATGCTATCCAAGATGAATCACAAAATTGACATGAAAATCTGTTGCTAACTTCATATGCAGAATCCTTCTTCTAACCAAGCAGTGGGAGAGGATTCTTCACAGATGTGAGTTTTAAAATATTGCGAATAAAATTTAAGGCAACACTTTCCTATGCTGAATGCCTCCCATAGTGTGGCTTTTGTTTTTTTGTGTTGTTTTTTTTTTAATTTAAAAGGGATATTTTGAAATTCTGTACTTTTAAAATGAATCTGTTTTTTGGGCTTTGATCCCTTTATTAATCGGTTGCTGAGTTTGTGATATGAAACTTTTTATGTTTAAACTCCAAAAGGGCCAAAACTGTATAGCGCTTAAGAGAAGAGAGATCTGTGTTGTTGCACTTTTATAGGGATGTTAGATATAGCCATATAACCACATGAAATTTTAGTAGTTACATGATTATTCGATAGTCCTTGGGGGCAGGACTGGCAGCCAGTGCACACTCAGCCCCACTCCCAGGGAAACCTCTGCCACCCTGCACTGCTGTCTCTGCAGCCTCTGCACTGCTTTGTGGCAGCTTCACCTACTCCCTGCTCTCCATATGACTGCCTCTGCTAGAAGCAGCTGGGGGGGAGGGGGCACCATGGAGTTGGTGCTGGGGAAAACTGGCTTTTAAGCAAGCTCCCTCCAGCCCCAGCTCCTGCCTCCACCTCCCTTGCTACCTCTGTAGGAAGTGTAGCGGGGAGGTAGGTGGGTCTGCGGAGCCACCACATGTGGGGAGCCTGCTTGAAAGCCAGCTCCCTCACGTATTGGCTCCAGCCTGCCCCCCTCATCCTACATGCTTCTGTCTCTCTCCCAGGGACAGTGGTGGGGAGTAGGAGAGACAGGCGTATCTGGTGCTAGTGGGGAGCTTGCTTAAAGCCAGCTCCTAAGGGGCACTGGCTCCTGCTCCTCTGACCCCCCCCCCCACCTGCTGCCTCTGATACAGAGGCAGCAAGGTTCGGGGGGTGTGAAGCGCATGTAGTTAAGCCTTGGCTTATGGGTTAATCTTATCGGTTAATTGTGTAGTGGACTACACATTGCCATCCCTCATACTTTATTTCCTAAGGTATAGGAATTCAGTGTTTTGGTTTTGTTTCTTTAAATCTGAATCCTTGTGTTAAACTGAGAGAAATATTGTCATGAAAACAACTGATCACTTATATTTTCATGCTTCCCTTTTTACTGCACAGAGCCAAGACTATTAAGAACACTGTCTCTGTGAATCTAGAGCTGACTGCAGAAGAATGGAAGAAAAAATATGAGAAGGAAAAAGACAAAAACAAGAGTTTGAAGAATGTTATCCAGCATCTGGAGATGGAACTGAATAGGTGGAGAAATGGTAAGAAACAACGAAACAAAATGTGTATTTGTTTTAATTCTAGAAGTTGAAATATTTGACTTGCAAAAGAGTCATACAAGTTTTGAACACACAAAAATACAAAATTTGCAGCTGCATTTCCAAATGATGATGAATTATTCTGAATTGGTAATAGAAACAGTGATGCTAAGTGATAATTCAGTCTACTAGATCCATACATATTACAGAACCAGAAAACATTGGGGTGCCAAGGTGGCCTTGTGAGATGAAATTAGTAAAACAATTCACTAAGACTGGATTTAATTTTTTGTAACTAAAAGTTAGTTTTTACATTAGAGCACAGACTATTGACCTGCTATGTTATTTGACATAACTAGCTGTCATTGCTCAGAGGAATACCAGCACTGGAATAAGTAGTTTCTAATTTCGCCAAACTATCTTTGGAGAAAAGTAAAGCATTTGATTTGTGGACTGGATATGCATAGTATCTTAATTGATATTTCTGTATCTTCTGCCTTTTTAAATATTGATTAATTTGAATCACTGTGCTAAAGCAGAATAATTCCTTTCAAGTTGAACACTTTGCAGAGTTGGTCATTTTAATGGCTCCTTAGGATCTTTAGACCACTTTTCCTTAGGGAGTATGTCTGCACTGCAATTAAAACTCATGGCTAGCCTGGACATGCAGTCTTGGGCTCACACTAAGGGTTTGTTTAATTGCATTGTAGATAAACGGACTTAAACCAGAGTCAAGCTGGGAAGGCTTACAGATTTCAGGCTGTAGCTCAGCCCCACAAGTAAGTGGACAGCTTCCATCTTGATTGCATCATGGCTCTGGGGCACTAACATTGCTTATGTGGAAAAAATAGTATTAAGGAAGTGTGTATTTTTAGTGACCCTTAATGCTCTTTGGCAATCCAGAAAATTAGGAGGAGTCCATGAGCCACAATTTGGCAACCTATATAACTAAACCAGTTATTGTGGTTTGGATTTTTTGACGTTTCAGGTCTCTATTGTGCACTTTAGGAACATATGTAACAGAGAACTAAAACATAAAAAACCCAAAGCAAACAAAATGACTCCAGGACTAAATAATCAATATTGCTTTAAGTTGATCATATTTAACAAGCCTCTAATGCCACCATCGAGCAACCACATCTGACCATAAGGCTGTAATGACTTGCTGCCAAGTAATGCCTGCCATAGGCTGGTTCTAGCTTCCACTTGGTTTGCCACCGTACCAGAAAAAGAGCTGTCCTTACACTTAAACACTCAGATGAAATGTTCATGCTGGAAATCCGTAGATGCAAGGAAGAACTTAATTTTTAACAAAACTTTAAAAAACCCTGTATACAGATATTAGTAGAAATAAAATTGGACAAGTCAGTCACTTTGCTTTCTCTCATTTGTATGTTATAACTTAGGACAAGATCCTTTTCTGCATTTGGAGTTGATAACAAGACCCAAAGGGGGCAAAATGTTGGTACTGATTTGTTTTCTTTAAGCAAGATCTGAAAACAGTATTCTATCTCATTTTAATCTGCAGATTTGGTATCCTCATTGATTTTGCTCAAAGATATGAAGGCATTTGTGATGAAATGGTTTTGTTTCTCTCAATCACTAAATTAATTCATTTATTAAAAGTGAACACAATTCCAGGTATTTTTTTCTAGAGCAAAAATTATATGATAGCTGCAATTACACTGTTGCTTGTCTAACTATGTAATGAATGGAAAATTATATTGTCATTTATATTGTAATATATTTGTTACTACAGGGTTTAATAACTGGGATGTTGTAGAGCATTTACTTGGCAAATAAGTAAAATTCAATAAAATGTTCATATTTCTTTTCTTGTAATAGCTTCTCTAATGCGGTTTTTACTGATTTAGTACAAAATAATTAAAATAGCATAACAATATTTATACTGATAAGGCATCTAGCTCCAAATTCTGTTCACTAGAATGGGATCATCACCATTTTTTTTTTACATCAGCCACAAGCCTCCTTGTTTTTGCAGCTAGTAATCAAGAGATTGATTAAATGTATCATGCACAAAAGTTGCTAATCTAAAGTAAATGCACACCAGTGATTTTTGCATGGACAGACGTGAAAACCTTTGAATTTGTGGTCAGAAAATGGACTAGTTGTACTCATTTTGAACATCATATGTAAAATCTTCAGCGGGAAGAGGCAACTGCTTTTGATTTTGATGAAAGCAGGAGAAAACAAACTTTTCCATTTATATATATGTTCTCCCCAGGTGGTGGTTGTGGTTGTCTTCCTTATTACAGTCAGCTGACAGTAATGATAGCGTTCTTGGGCTATCTCTGGAGACTTGGGCTTTGTCAGTGCAGGGAATAGTTCTCCATTAGTGCAGTGAAATTGCCATGGAGACAGTTCACCTGGTATTGGGTCTTGTGTAGTGCTGGGAATTTATTATGTCTTAATATTTGTATGTTTGATTCTGTGTTTATTAAATGTAACTTTCCAAATCTCCTTTCTTCCTAGAAGGAAGAGTAGCATTTTAGAACAGGGGATACAGATGTCTGTTGCATGCAGAGTAACCAGCTCTTACAACAAACTCTTCCTCCCCCTTTCTTAATTTATGCATCTTCTCATCCCTAATGTTGTTTTGCTGCCCTGGCCTGGACACAGATTAACTGCATTCAGAAATATATTTTTGGCTGTCTGTCTCTCTGGCCTTTTGAATAGTATTGTTTGGGGGAGGGCTCCATATGAGATGCCTTTTTTTTTCTCTCCAAGTGAACCTGTAGTGGAAATAAAGATGTGTGCACAAATCAAATTCAGATCAGTCAGTGCCAATTAAGTGTGCACATATGCAAAGATAGAATTTTAATTGTGTGTTCCAGTAAGAAGGATGATTGTCATGTAGTTTTATGACCCAAATTTTGATCGAGGTTGTTTTTCCACACACAACACTACAAATGGGAAAGTTTTTGGTTTTTAACAAGTCAAAAATGTTGTTTGAAATTTTTTGGTGCAGGCCAGAAAGAGTCAGCTTTCATTGTGTAATATGAGTGAAATGCAAAAGCTAAATCAGTAACATAATTAGTTAAAAAAAAATTAGTTTAACATTATCAGTATTTATATATAAAGTGGCATCAGCAGTGTAGGAAAGGATGTAGTATTTTAATGTAGGATTTTTTTAAATGTAGGATTTCAATAGTGCTTGCTTTTGTTATATGTCTAATAATTCTGTAATTTTTTTAAGCTTAAATTTTATTTTCTCACTAGGTTTGGCTGATTTACATCTGGGAAACATTGATTGTTATACTCCCAGGCTCAGTTCTTTCTCATGGGGCTGAATTACCATGTTTCCTTTTGTTTTCTTATATTTGCATTATTTATTTGCTCACCTAGCAGCCTTAGGAATTACTCCTGTCGTCTGTGCAGACATGGTTAGTTAACACTTAATCTATGGAACAACAGTTTGGTAGGCTCTCACTTAAACTGTTGCTATTTTCTAGACTTAAAAATATCTTCATGGAGAATCTACTTCCCAAGTCCCAAATACCACACACAGTATTTACCTTCTAGAGGCGTGTTCCCATCTGATTATAATGAACATCACTTTCAATTTCAGGCATAAGTGACTTGCCTGTTCCTTTTCACTGAATTGCAATCGAGTGGAAATTGGAATGCACATACATTTTTGTAAAGAAAATGTTTCACAGAGAATTCTTCTGAGAGAAAAGTTTTGAAAAATTATATTAATTTATATTGGTAGAATAAAATCTATTTCATTTACAGTTGCATACTGCTTTTTCCTGTTTGAGTGTCCGTGACTGTATTGGTAGTTTACTGTTGTCGTACAGCTGTTTGATCATTTGTATTCCTATAAAAATACAGAGAGGTGAGAGAGAGAAGACAGCAGGAAAATAGGGGCAATAGATACTCAAATATCTGTACACAGTGCCCAATACCCTTTAAAATGCGTTGGATTTTTTTTCCCTCTTACTTGCATCACTTCTCCTAATTGCCAGCATGGGCGTGTGGTCATCCCATCCCTGAATCTGGCTGAATGGCCTTTTTTGTGGCCTCTTCCGTTAGGCTCTTGTGACTTGTCTTAGGGACCGGTGTGACCGCTTAGTGCCTTGTCTCTTGCACAACCCTAGCTTTCAGAACTGCCTCTATTTCCTGTGGATTCTAATGACACACTTCGTGTTTCCTCTTTGCCACTGCAGGAGAAGCAGTGCCTGAGGAGGAGCAGATTAGTGCTAAGGAGCAGAAAAATCTGGAGCCATGTGACAACACGCCTGTCATTGACAATGTTGCTCCTGTTGTTGCAAGCATCTCAAATGAGGAGAAGCAGAAATACGATGAAGAGATAACCAGTCTCTACAGACAGCTTGACGATAAGGTCTGGAAACAGTTCCTTTGAGTCTGCTCTATGTACATTAACATATAACCGATGGCTATATGTGCTCATCTAGTTCATTATCAGTGCAGTGCCCTTTCCAAACTGCAAGATGTATTCTGTTTAGAATAGGCCTACCCTCCATCTTCACAGCTTGGGATGGGTGTGCAGGGCTGCCTGCCAGCACAGTGGTGAGATGCACCTGTGAGGCTGCCACAGCCCTCACAGGTGAGGGGACCGTTGTGTTTTTTATATAGTTTTAAGAAATGTTTTCTCTGCTGTTTTCTTAAACTAGTCTCTGTGTGTTGTTCGATTGACTTCAGTTCTGTTTCTCAAAGGTGCTCATCTTCCGTCTAACTATTGTGTGGAACTGCTTTAGAGATTTCTCTATATGTTGTAGAGGAACTTTATGTTCTCACTGCTGTTCCTCTCAAGTGTCTCTTTTTATGGTTAATACTAGTCGCATGGATTTTTTTTCTTTCTTTCTGGACTCCTAGTGTGACTATAACTGGACAGCGCAGTAAATAGATTTTGATTCTTCTGTTACTGGAAATTCTTCCTAAAAACAGCAAGCTCCTCGGCTATCTACCGCTTGATATTTAATACACAGTAGCTAATATGAAAATAGAACAGGGAGAGCCTTCCAGCCTTTCTCTTTGTTAACATCTAATGAATTTTTGCACAAGAGCCATAAAAGAACCTATACTAATCCACCATTTTACAGAATTACTCAGTGTGGAGGTTCTAGATGTTTTGTTTTCATTCTGATCTTCATGAATTTTCTTTCTGGATGAGTAGGAAGCAAGTTAGGATGCAAACCCCGCCACTCAATTATTTACTCTCCCTCCTGTCCTTCCTAAACATACACAGGCTATATTATTCTTCAAAGGACTATATGTAGATTGTTCTAGCCACTTTATCTTCTTTGAGATTTGTTTCTCTAGGAAATATGGGAATATAAAATTCAATTTATTACACTGTTGTAGGGAATAGGAAAGGTGGTCATTTCCCCTAATGCAAAAACAAGTGTTTCCCATTTATAACTCATAAGAACCCGAATTTTAAGTTAACAGTAAATCTGAAAGACCATTTAAAGAGTTGGGAGTGGAGTGTCCTATCTACTGTACTTGTTAGCTAGTCTTGCCATCCGAAATCAATCTATTGTTTAGGATGGCTGCCTGTAAAGCTCAGAATTCTGATTGATTCTGATGGGGCACAAAAACAACCACTTAGATGCTAAGTTGCTTCAGAAATAGACTTCCTTTTTCAAAAGAATGGATGAGATGGAATTTGTCAGCTGCCAGGATTGTCCTGTCCGTCAGAGTCCATGATTTTAGAGAATATAAAATCATAGAATACTAGATCTGGAGGGAACCTTGAGAGGTCATCAAGTCCAGTCACCTGCATTCGTGGCAGGACTAAGCACCATCATTCTAAACCATCCTGGACAGCTATTTGTCTAACCTGGTCTTAAAAATCTCCAATGACAGGGATTCCACAACCGCTGTAGGCAATTTATTCCAGCGCTTAACCACCCTGACAGTTAGGTTGGACAGTAGGAAAAACTTCCTAATGTATTCAGTGGAGTTGGATATCTCTGTTTACTTCTGAATTCAATGATTTCTAACTCTGAGGATATTGTCTTAACTAAAAACATGAAATGTCAATAAATTTGAGCACCTGGAGTTGGAGTAGACACCCAAAGGTGGATAATAAGTATCAGAATAGCCATGATAATCTGTGTCTGCAAAAACGAGGAATCCTGTGGCACCTTTAAGACTAAAATTCATTTGGGCATAAGTTTTCATAGGCAAAAACCCACTTTGTCAGATACATCCCATGAAAGAGTATGCTCAAATAAATGTTAGCCTTAAAGGTGGATAATGTTTCTTTCAAAGTCTTTGGTAAGGAAGGAGAGAGATAAATGTAACCGTGCATATATCCCTTGTTTTATTATGTATTTTAACGTAGTTTAGGTCTGTTCTGTTTAGAGAGAGATTTATTAATCAATCTATTTCCATTCAGAATAGAGTGGCAGAAATGTTTATAAAATAAAATCTATATTATTACAGCTAAAGGCAAACATTTACAGTGAAACTGCTGACTGATTTCCTCCCCCATAAAAGCACCTCCATTTTGGGAGCACCATGACTGTCAAGATTTTGGAACTTTTTCAGTGTAAGCAGGGAGGGCTAAAACACAAATGTGTTTGGGAAAGTCCTTCATCGGAGTCTGTATCCTTAGCACTGAAAATCTTATTCTGTTATACAATTACAAATTGAATACAGTCTATTTGTTTGCTTGATGCAGTTACTGCTCTTCCAGTGCCTTATTTGGAGTGGGCAAGGTTCCCGCAGCTCCCATTTGCCAACGGGAGCTGTTAGTGGCCGTACCTGCAGATGTGCAAGTCGATGAAGTGTCTGGCACCCCGCCAGGGGCTACCCCTGGTAAACTGTATACTGTCCACCCTAGTTCTAGTCACGATCTGAGGCAAATCTGCTTAGCTAAATGTTGTGATATTTATTAAGAGACATCTGATCATTTATGTATTTTTTTATCCATGTAGCTGTTGTGTATAATTCTTTTTCTTCTGCCCAACCATGTTTATAGTCATTTTATTTCCATCTTGGGGCATTACTGTTCTTCAGGTCCTGCAAAAGAAAAGCAAAAGGTTCAAATCCAAATTACAGAAATAATTTTTGTATTCAATTGCAGGATGATGAAATCAACCAGCAGAGTCAGTTGGCTGAGAAACTAAAACAACAAATGTTGGATCAAGATGAGGTAAAAAAAAGAAAAATCCAAACAGTTTTGGTTCATAGATCTTTTGAAAACATTACTGCATTAGTTACGCTGCTAGATATGTCCTAACTGGCTAAAAATCTGTGGGATAAGAGTTGCCTTATGTGATCATTTAAACTCTGTTGGCCTGGTAATCTTGAGAGTTTGAAGTCTAAATGGGCACACACTTGAGTATACCAGATGGGGTGTAACCTAGAGGATGGTAACACTCAGAGGTTTTGAAAATTAGAAATACTGATAAAACATTTTTCACTACATTCATGCTTTGTAAAATGCAAGCCAAGGTAGATGTTAGCCAATTACCAGATTTCCTTGGGAATGCTGCTTTACTAATTCACCAGTAGTAATAATTTTTAGTGTCCTGGGTTTGGCATTACTGCTTAGTAGGCCACATAGTTTAATGGAGTGTGTGAGAGAAATGCAGTCTGTTTTTCTTGAGGTTTTTATCCTGGCACTCCCATTAAAATTGTGCTCTGGGGCCTTAAATGAACCAGTTAATATATCTTTATATCAGTGGCACTGTCTGGGGAAAGGAATATGTGTGTGTTTTTTAAAGGAAGATGATCCTTACCTACCTCAGATACATTAATAACCTTCTGAAGTGATTTGAAGATGTAAAATATAATATAAATGCTAAATGACTGTTACTGAATTTTTGAAACGTAAATTGAGAAATTTTGGAAGAGATGAAATGTTTTATGGCAAGTTAAACTCTTTTTTCTGGGCTTTCTTTTGCATTTGGTCCAACTTTTTATATTTTCAGCTTTTCTTGGATCCAGTTCTGCAGTTTAAAGCAGTATAAATACAGAATAACTAATCTCAGTACAGAAGGTGAAATGAGATCAGTTACAGAGCAAAATTCACCCCCTCACCTACCTCTTTTTGAGATTTCTTCCTGCTTATTCCCCATATTTCTTGTATTCGTATACAGAGTCTAAGATACTGATTTGATTTCCCTTCTGTTTTTCTCTTGTTACTTTTGTAACTGCTCTTGCTCTCTCTACATTCTGACTCCTCACTCAGGACTCCATGTTTGACATACCTATGGGTTTTTGTCTCCTGCCTCTGTCAAAATCTAGTTTTCATCCCTCTCGCTAGATTAGCCATAGTAAAGAAGAAAAATTGTCAGACACATAGATGAACAAAATATATTGCAGAAGAGTCAACACTAAGGATGTTAAGAAGTGGGTAATGGGCTAACTGTGTAGTCAGATACAATTTGTATCAACTACACTAAAGTTGATAAGGGGAGGTACTCTGTTCCGGCTCACAACAGGTCCAGGAGCTAACCCTGCTGCAGCTCTGCAGTTTAAATATAGTTGGAGCTGAGTGCACAGGCAGCCCGGCTCCTCCTACATTTAAACTGCAGAGCTGCAGCATGAGTAGCTCCCAGACCTGGCACGAACCGGGACTGAGCAGTCCTAGCTTGCACCTGGTCCCAGACTGCTGCACCTCTGCACTTTAAAGAGCTAGGTAGCTCTTACTATATTTAAAATGAAGAGGTGCAGCGGTCCTGGCTGTGACATGAGCTCTCGCCCCTGTCAGCTGGGGAATGGTGTCCCAGCTTTCTGCTGGGACACCCCACGGACAGGAGATGCTCCATAGGGTGCTGAACAGCCTGTGCTTCCCTTGGGCAGAGGGTGCTTCATAGCAGCCTCCCCTGCTCCACCCTCCCGCACCACAGAGATGATGCTGGGAGGAACCGGCTTTTAAGTTGACTCCCCCAACCACCGGCTCAGTCTTCCCCCTCCCCCTTTGCTACCTCTGATACAGAGGGAGCAAGTGGGGGGAAGCGAGTAGCCAAGAAGTTGACTACTCAACTAGTTGCTTACATCCCTAGTCAAAACAGTTTTTGTAAAGAGAAATCATATCTTGCCAATCCATTAGAATGCTTTAACAGGGTAAACAAATGTATGAACAAGGATGGTCCAGTGGATATAGTGTATGTGGACTTGCAGAAAGCCTTTGACAGTGTCCCTCACTAAAAGCTCTTAAGGAATGTTAGCAGCCATAGGGATAGGTGAGAAGGTCCTTTCATTGCTCCACGACTGGTTAAAAGATAGGAAACAAGGAATAAATGGTCAATTTTCGAAGGGAGATACTTCCTTGAAGGAGCTATATGGGGATCAGTGCTTTTCAACATATTTCATAAGAAAATAAGAACAGCCACTTACTAGGCCAGGCAATGGTTGGTTATGCCCAGTATCCTGTCTTCTGGAAGTGGTCAATGCCAAATGCTTCAGAGGGCATGAACAGAACAGGGCAATTTCCCAAATGATCTGGAAAAAGGGATACTTAGTGTGGTGACACAGCTTGCAAATGATAGAAAATTGCTCAAAACAGTTAAGCCCAAAGCTGATGCAAAGAATTATAAAAGGGATCTCACAAAACTGGTGACAGGGTAACAAAATGGCAGATACAATTATGCACATTGGAAAACATAATCTCAGCTATGCATACAAAATGTTAGTCTAAACTATCTGTTACCACTGAAGATAGAAATTTTGGAGGCATTGTAGATCGTTCTCTGAAGTATTTGCTCATTGCACAGTAGCAATCAAAAAAGCTAGCCATGTTAGGTACCATTAGGAAAGGAGTAAATGATTAAACATTGAAAATATCACCATGCCTCTGTGTGAAGCCATGGTAGGCTTGAACACTGCATGAGGTTCTGGTCATCCAATCTCAAAAAAGATGCATTAGAATTGGAAAAGGTTCAGATGGGGGCATCAAAACTTATTAGGGGTATGGAACAGCTTTCATACATGGAGCTTGTTAGAAGGACTGGGACCATTCAACTTTGAAAAGAGACAACTGGGGGATATAAGAGAGAGATCTATAAAATCCTGAAGGGTGTGGAGAAATTGAATAAGGAAGTGTTATTTATTCTTTCACTAACACAAGAACCAGGATTAGTCACTGAAATTAATAGGCAGCAGATTTAAAACAAGTATAAGAAAGCACTTGCTCACATTACATGCAGTCAACCTGTGGGACTCATTGCCAGGGGATGTTGTGGGTTCAAAAAAAGAATTAGATAAATTTATGGGGGCTAGCTCCCTCAATGGCTACTAGCGAAGGTGGTCGGGGGTGCAATCTCATGCTCTGCCAGAAGCTGGGAATGGATGAGAGAGGACAATCACTTTGTAAATTGCTCTGTTCTGTTCATTTCCACTGAAGTATCTGGCATGGACTTTTGTCAGAAGACAGGATACCGGGATAGATGGACCATTAGCTTGATCCAATATGGCTTTTCTTTTGTTCTTATGCGTGTCTTCATTAGTGTGGCATTTCACACATTGACAGCAATAATACTTCAGAGTGCATTCTACACCATGCTGATGTGTGTTCTTAACTTTACAGGGTTTTAAGTCATCTACTTCTCTGTTTCAAAAATTAGTGTTGTCCATTACAGATCTAATGTTTGTAAATCTAATTTAGAATCTAAATCTCACTTCTTTACACTAGTTCCCCATTTGTTTTATTTCTCTACTCCTGGGTTCTGGCCTCTTTTCTTACCTTTTATTTCTTGGGCTATTTGCATCACTCTCCTTTGGGATGTTTAATTACTTGGGAGTCTCCTGTATTCTAGCTCAGTGGTTCCCAACCACTGGTCCGCAAACTGGTGGCTGCCAGAGCTTAAGCTGGATGTTTGCTGCAGCTCAGCTGCAGCAGCCGTTGTGTCTGATTTTGCCAGGCAGCAGTGCTGGGGCTGAGGCAGCAGCAGGAGACACCTGCCTCCCTCTTCCCCCCCTCCCACCCTGGTAAGATGTGGCCCAGCCAGGGTTCCGTGCTCCCTCCCCACCTCTGCTCATGGGGACATACTTGGGGAGCGAGGGGGTGCACTGCCAATAGTCACTTCCCCTGCCCATGTGGCAGTAACGGCCACGATCCCTAAAAGGGCCAGCCTCATTCTGGGGAGTGCAGGGGTGGGGTGGAGTCAAAGGGTAAAGGGGTGTTGGCATGGGCTGTAGCGGTCAGAAGTAAAAGGGTCAAAGGGCATGGGGTGTAAGGTGGGGGTCAAAGGATGTTAGGCACCGGGGAACAAGGGGCTAGGTTGTGGGGAGGCAGACAGGTAAAATTTTATGTGCCCATTCATTTGCATAAGGAATATACATATATGCAAATAAAATGTTATAGGTCCACCAAACATTTTTGAATGGATTTGCTGGTCCATGGTTATAAACAAGATTGGGAACCACTGTTCTAGCTCATCTCCTGCTTCCCTCTGGATTCTTACTCATTAGGCCTGCTAACTGGAAGGAAGGTGAGGGAAAGCAACTGCCCTAAGGTACAGCAATTCAAAAGGAAGCAGCAGCAGCTGGAGCCTCGAGCCCTTTAAATTGCCACTGGAGACTCACTCCGCACACTCTGGGTAGCACTGAGGGCTGCCTGGGGGAGGTTAGCCCCAGTCTCCCTCTTGCACAGGTGCCCAGCAATCCTGTCGGCCTCACTGTTGTAGTGCTAAACCTGTGTTCTCTTCATTAATCAACAGTTTGCTCAACTTATTTTAAGTTGATCTCTGCTAATAGGAGCAATTTTAAAAAGAAGTCTGTCTACAGTTTCTTTCAATTAAAGTTAAAATGATTATCACGTTTTTTACTGTTTAAAATATGCCTTGCAACAAAATGCCACAAGATGCCCCAAACTACTTTTATGCGGTTCACTTCAAAGTTGTCACACTTGGGCTTGAAGTCTTTTCATTTTGGTTCTTAGGACAGCACTCAGGGTGGAAAAAGCATTTGAAGCTATGAAATTGTTCAAAATAAGTGGTTTTTTTCTTTCTGAATCTTGTGGGAAAATTGAGTTAGTTCATGGAGAATAATTACCTACTTGTGGTCTCTACTATCCAGCTTTTGGCTTCCACAAGAAGAGATTATGAGAAGATCCAAGAGGAACTGACTCGTCTTCAAATTGAAAATGAAGCTGCGAAAGATGAGGTGAAAGAGGTTCTTCAAGCTCTGGAGGAATTAGCTGTCAATTATGACCAGAAATCACAAGAAGTGGAGGACAAGACCCGAGCCAATGAACAGCTGGTGGATGAACTGGCACAGAAAACAGTAGGAGCATTGCTGGTTATTCCTGTATCTCACGCCTGCTTTTACATGCAGTTTTTCGTTCTTAAAAGGACTTTTTTTATTTTTAGGAAGATGTAAACGTTTTTGGGGCATCCCAGTTATAAATGTATACGTCTGCATCAATTTATAAATCTTTTAGTTAATAGCCTAGTCAAGCATATTACTGGCTTTTGTTGATAAAACTGAATTATAGAAGCCATCTGAAGGCCAACATTTGTCAACAGTTACCTCTTTTATGCTTATCTTGAATAAAATTGTAGTAGATTTGGATACAACTGTGTGGTAATTGTTGGCAGATGCTGGCTTTTGATGTCTCTGCTTCCATATAACACTTAAAAATAATGGTAATTTTTAGGCGCAAAGCATGATAGTAATATCACTGTTTATGACCCATTCTTCGCAGCAGCTGTTAATTTCCCCCTTTCATACTTCTAATATTATGGTATGTAGATCTGCTTTCTCACTACACTGTCTCAGGGTATATTGCTAAAGGTATATCTAAGCTTCAGGCTGGCAGTGTAAATTCCAGCTAATGGAGACAGGCCCATGCCTGCTGTGATTGAGGTACTTGTGTTCTAAGAATAGAGTATAGCCACAGTGTCAGGAGACTAGGATGAGCCAGCTGCCTGTATGTAGTCCTATCCCCATGCAAGACAAGTACTCAGGGCAGTAAACCTTTCCCACCACTCATGTTGCCATAGCTAGACTCTATTTTTAGGGCTCTAGTGTGACTGGAGCTAGCATGGGCATGTTGGCTTAAGCTGAAATTTTCCCAGTTAGAAGGGTGGATCTTCTCTAAAACTGCTAAGATGGTTTTAAAAAAAATTCCTCCTTCATCCTTCTCCCTTCAAGGAGATTGGAATAATCTGCGTCTTGACAAGCCTCACCTGACTGCAACATAAATACTGCTTTTGTGTGACCTCTCTGGCTGCAGTAGAGAAAACATAGGCATTGGAACTAATGTGAGAGTGTAAATATTTGCAAGAAAATGATATATTTGCTCATTCTCTTCTCCTATAACACACACACACACCTTCGCTTCCTGGATGTGATCAAACTACATCTCCTACTATATCCTAGGTACAATCTACAAGAGCTTCAAATCCAGATTTGGTTTAAATACCCAAAATGTTAAACGGGATAGACTCTGGTGAGTCATGCCTTTGTAGGTCATTGTCAGGTTCTCATTTCCATTACTTTTAACTGATACCAACAATACTGATTTCTTGTTGGTAACATTTTTAACCTGAGAAGGCAATTTTCATGTTCTGGTATTTAAGACATACTGTCTGTCTGCTGAGGACTCTGGTGATGAGTACAGGCAGCTAGATAGAAGGCTTTATTGTACAGACACTAGAAAGATGTAGATGTTGGTGTGTTTATGTGGCTTGGATGTCAGATGCTAGGTGAATTCTGCAAAAGGATGAATAAAATGATCTTGAGCCTGAAAGCCATCATTGAACAACCTGTACCCATGGAATAGTACTGAAAGAAGAGAAGGGAAAATGAAATCTGAGGTCATAATTGTACCTCTGTGGAAGGGGAAACATGAAAACAAACCATCTAAAGACAACTTTTTGTATGTTGAAATAGAAAAAACTAACTTGTATGTATTTGTTCTGCTTACAATATGAACTGAGTTTTCTGAATTAAAGATCCTTTTTTATATCAAGGGTTGTAATCTCATCTCCCATCTCTCATCTTTTCCAGAGTGCTTTGACAGTCACTCAACGAGAGTTGGGTCAGTTGCAGGAACTCAGTAATCATCAAAAAAAGAGAGCTACAGAGATCTTGAACTTACTGCTTAAAGATCTGGGAGAGATTGGAGGAATCATTGGTACCAATGATGTTAAAACGGTAAACCAGATATTATATTGCTTTAAAAAAATGTAATGGTAAAGGTGGGTGGTATGGATATTTACAGCACCAACCTTTCACCCCTAAAGTCTGATATTTAAATCCTCCTTGGATTACAAATTAAAATTTGGTGGTTTTACAGGATGTTTTTCTAAATTATAGAACCACCCTGCAGCTTGCATAATCTACTGTAATTAGCCCTCTCTGTTATTGAGAAGTAAAGGATTTCTATTATCACCTATTTAACAGATCAGGACAGTCATGTGAAGGGAAACATTATGGCTTACCATTTAAATCCATCCAGTTCGGAAGCAGTAGTCACTGTAGTGGCTACTGCTGTAGTGAACTATCCACACTCAACTATCCAAATAGCCAAGTTGTTCAAGCCAACTAGTCATGCTTAACCAGCCAGATAGCCACATATGGCTAATGCCTGGCTTGTTGGACACCACAGATTTAAACATTGGAATTTTTAAAAATTTCACATATTTTCAAGGAAATGAAATATTGGTGAGAAACTGAAGTTTGTCAGTTTCCAGTATTGGTGAATTTTGCTGATTACCTCATAAATGTCAGCACTACTGCAGGATAGGCCTGACTATAACTAATGGTGGAGAGGAGACTTATTTTTGTTCCACAGAAGAAGAAACCTAAGTGGAAAATTAGTGAATGCCATTAACACAGTAGAATCCTGGGTGCAGAAATGTTTCTGGAGATACCTGAAATCTTCAGCCATTCAGTGCTTCAAAATTTGAATGCTGACTGGAATGCTCTGCATACAGAGAGCTAGCCAATTTCTTCAAGGTTCCCACTTCTGCTATAGATAAAGCCAATTCCAACCAATTTTCCCTGTAAGCTCAGTTCTTGAACAGCCACCCAGTCCAATGCTGCCCAGCTGATTAGCAGAGTGCCTATAGCCTCCCAAACTGACAGCATGTATTTCTATTGGTGGTGCACATCTGCACATTTCTGGGTGCACGTAACTAATTTTATTCTGCACGTGGATGGAAAAAAATGAGAGGGAACATTGATTCCAACCGTTGGAAATGGTATTTTAATGGTCACTGGTTAATACTGCATCAGAGAAGTAAGCAATTTAGGTGATATACAAATTCTCTTGACACTGTTGACTGTGTCACTTTTTTTTCTGAAACTGATGTTACATCTAGTTGCTAGACTGTGCTGTTAAGTTTGCATGAGACAAATACTATTTCAAATAGTATTTAATGTTTTCTTTTGTTTGTATTGTACTAACTTTCTCTTCCTTGCTTCAGTTTGAATACTAGAGCTGTCCTTTTACTTTTTAAACTCTTCCCATAGCTCAGGGGTGAAAACAAGTCAGTGAAGCTGGATACCCTGTCCATAGTGTACCTATTGGACTTGATCCTAAGAGTTGTTGGGCACCTGCCTCTCTCTCACTGAAGTCTTTTCCAAGTGCTCAGTTCCTCTCTTATTACAAATGCCATTACCCTTGTCTTTCCACTAATGTTTCTTATGGCAGTGTATTTCTTATGTCCTGCATCATTATTTCCTGGGGTCTGGAACTGTTCATTTAAGAGTTGCTAGAAGGCATTTTTGGGTGAGAGAGAGAAAATAAATCGATGTGTTGCTGAGGAATTCCTTGCTTAATAAACTTCTGGAATTCTGCTGTTATCATTTGATTCCATAGTTCTGAATGTTTCTGAGTGCATTAGTTGATATAAAGTATTGGATAATTCTGGAAAACTACTTGTTGAAATCTCAAAATAACTAACATTTAAATAATCTGTCAAGCCATATCTGTTTTGGGTTGACAGATAACTAGTAATCTAGTATTCTGAGGGTTGATATAAAACTCCAGTGAGTTCTGTCCAAATTAACATGATTTGATCTGGAAGTTTTTTTTTAAACTGTTTTCTTTCCTCCAGTGGCACAAGAGTGAATCTTGCTTTAGATGTCACAGCGACCCCTGGTGGATATGTAATTGTATATTAAATTATATTAAAGAGAACAGAACAAGACAGCTTTCCATGTAAACTAATAATTTAGGGTGCTTTATAATGTCCCTTTTTGAAAGGGAGGTTCCTGGCTTCTCCAGCAGCATAGGAAAGCTCTTCTACCGTTGTCACTACAATTAAGACAAATGTTCTAAATTATTCCCACTTTTAATGTTGAATCACTGGATCAGTGGTTATGACCTGGGCATGAGACTTAACTTTTGGTCTTTGTGTGATGTTTTTATCAATGAAGTTTGAGAGTTTGATAGATATGATCTCATGGAATGTAAATCGGGAAAAGAATCCAAGCAGGTGTACCCAATAATTCGGCTGTGTGTTACTGAGATCTCCTATCTCTAGACAGCTGGGTTACTGGTAGAAATTTTTCTGGGTTGGTTGTGTTCTTTGATAAGCCTGTATTGAGCATTGTAATCTTTTGGGTGTTCAGTTAGCAGATGTGAATGGGGTCATCGAGGAGGAGTTCACCATGGCACGGTTGTACATAAGTAAGATGAAATCTGAGGTGAAATCTCTGGTAAACCGCAGCAAGCAGCTGGAGAGTGCCCAGATCGACTCCAACAGAAAGATGAATGCCAGTGAGAGAGAACTTGCAGCCTGCCAGCTGCTCATCTCACAAGTATGCCTCTTTCCACCTCCTTCCCCTCCTTCTCCCCTCTTATTTTGGCAGAAGTCTCCCTGATTTACCCTATTTCTCCTTGAAACTACCCCCCCCACACACACGTCAATTTAGGGATGAGATCATGCCTGCTTGGTGGTAGATTTCTATAACCCTCATACTCTTCAATGGCAATACATCCCATTAAGGTTAGGATGTATTGGCACCTCTCAGGCTTCTGTGCTTAATGTGGAAATATGTGAACACAGAAGTCTAAAAATGTTCTCCATGCTGAAGCAAATTTTAAAATGAGATAATTTCAGTAAAATTGTAAGAGCCTCCACCCAGATCCCTCCTAACTCAGAAATTAGGAATAAAACTTGTTTAAAAATAAAACACATTTTGTTCTTTTTACCTTAAAAATGTGTTGTTTTTATTAAAGTGACCTTTCTTGTTGAAAGACGTGCTGACAAAAAATAAGGAGCAAATATTCAGTGTTGCTGTTGACCAATATGTTTGACTTTCCAGTAGTACAGCTTGAGATGCCCAGGAAGCTATTCAGTTAATGTTAAGTAAATTTGACTTTAAAATGTTGCTACTGTTCAGTAACAAGCTGGATCTGCATTCCGTGTGGTACAGCCGGTCCACGAGTTACGAACGCATTGATTTATGACCGTTCGTATTTACGACCAACCTCCTATACAGCCGGTCCCCGAGTTACGAACGAAATCCGCACTTACGAACAGTGCGGCCGTACATAAGTGAATGTAATCTGACGTACAAACAGATCAAGTTACGACCTAGTGTTTGGTACGTAAGTCGGGGACTAGCTGTATTCTGGAAATACCGGTCATGCTGCACATGTGTTATCCAAAGGCCACAGAGAATTAAGATTGTTTTGGTGTTGCATCCACCTTGGATCCTGCACAGCTTTTCTTCCTTGTAGGTAATGCTAGATGCAGAGAGCTTTTACACATCCCCAGTTTTTACAGGAAGAGACACCTGAATTTCTACATAATAAGCTATGCCAGTTATATCTGCTTTTGTTAATTTTTTTTTATAGCATGAAGCAAAGATTAAGTCCCTTACAGACTACATGCAGAATATGGAACAGAAGAGAAGGCATTTAGAAGAGTCACAAGACTCACTTAGTGAAGAGCTGGCCAAGTTGCGTGCTCAAGGTACTGTACTTGAAACAGGATAATTAATTATGGGTTTTTTCTTATCATAGACTTTTGGCTTCTACAGGCTACAAAATCCAGTTCTGTCCAACTGGCACATTGGGAACTCTTCTAGGGATTCTTCGCTTTGTTGTGACTTTCCTTCCAAATAACGGTTGTTCCTGCCCACCTGCTATTCCCTCCTTCCAATGCAAGAAAGATGACATGGCTGAACCAGAGTAGATAGTCAGTATTTTAATTCACTTGCCTAATTCTAGCTATTACTCTGGGTCTCTTTCAAGTCTCTCCCCTTCCCCCCCAAAAAAATCTGAAGAGGCTGCATGGCTATAGCTAACGGAAGACTGGATTGTACAAACTGGACAACGATCCCCCATTCTCCTATAAAATTGTCCTGCATGCTTAGTATTCAGTCACAGAACAGTCCAACTGAATCAGTGCCACACAGTTCAGTGACTTGCAGGACACACAGTGGTTGTTTTGAAACTCAGAGTTGAGCCGCAGCAGCCTAGCTCACGCGCTGGACTTATGAGTCTTGATTTTTTTCAAAAGAATGAGTCAGCCTTAATACTGAAGTGTAAGTAAAAATTCTTGATAGCTACAGGGAAAGGAGCATCAGGCTCTCTGTGGTATTGTAGTATTCTTGGAGTCCTGTCCAACTGGAATAATCTCCCTAGCTGTTGACCCATACAAGCCCTGTGAGTCACCTGTGCTACAGTTGCCAATCCTGCTCCCTGTTTGATCCCAGGGAAAATGCTGCTTTCCTAGCTGCTAGGTTACATCTTGCAAATATATGGGCTTTGTTTTATGGATTTGACAACTTATGCTAAATTTATGGAAAGAGCAATTTTCTCGGATGTCCTTAAGCCTCTGTAGCACACACTGCCACCGTGGGCTCTGATTTCCACCATACGCCTGTCAATTAACATTGCCCCGTGTTTCTTGTCAGGGGTCCTTTTCAGATTTCAGGAGCAGCAAATGGTTTGGATCCTCTGATGCTTTTGATCCCTTGAAAAAGGTAGAAGAAAAGGATGGGAGTCACTATGGGCTAAGTAGATTGGGAAGGGTCACAAGTAGACAGGATGGTGGGAATGTGAGAAGTTGTAGGTATATGGAGGTATGATCCGATAATACTGTAATTGGAGAAGGTGATGGAAGGGTTATCCACAAGTCACTTCACAAAGAGCCCTTGCCTAGCCATATGTGAGTCTTTTCCAACAGATGACTGTTAGTGTGGAGAATGTATTCCCATTTATTTTGTTAAAAGTATTTGATATAGGAAATCTATGAGATTCCTGAAGTGAGTGCTGAAGTTCTTGGTTTCTGAAAAGAAAAAGCTGTTGTAGGTGTCATGAGATAAGAAGGAAAGCCCTTTCCTAGACTGATTAAAAGATAGGAAGCAAAAGGTAGGAATAAATGGCCAGTTTTCAAAATGGAGAGAGGTAACTAGTAATGTCTCCAGTGCCCCCTCCCCACCACAGACTGATCTGGGACCAGTCCTATTCAACATCTTCATAAATTATCTGAAAAAAGGGGTAAACAGTGAGGTGGCAAAATCTGCAATTGATAGAAAACCTTTCAAGGTTAAGTTCCAAGCAGAGTGCAAAGAGCTACAAAAGGAAATCTCAAAACTGGTGACTAAGCAACAAAATGGCAGATGAATTTCAGTGCTGATAAATGGAAAGCAATGTGCACTGGACAATATATAATCCCAACTATACATATGAAATGATGGAGTCAAAATTAGCTGTTACTATTCAGGATGGAGATTTTGGAGTCACTGTGTAGTTATGAGATCCACTCAATCTGCAGCGGCAGTTGAAAAGGTAGAAAGTATCATACTGGTTTTATATAAATCCATGTATGCTCACATCTTGAATACTGCAGGCAGATGTCCCCTCATCTCAAAAGATACATGGAAAATGTCCAGAAAAGGGCAGCAAAATGGTTAGGGGTATGGAATATCTTCTATATGAGGAGGGATTAATATGGATGGAACTTGTCAGCTCAGAAAAGAGGTGAGTAAGAGGGGATATGATAGAGGTCTGTAAAATCATGATGGATGTGGAGAAAGTGAATAAGAAAAAATTACTTACTCTGTCCCATAGCACAAGAATTAATAGGTGTCAAGTTCAAAACAAAAAAGTATTTTTTCACACAACACACAGTCAACCTGTGGAACTCTTCCAGAGGATGTTGTGAAGCCCATGATTGTAATAGGGTTGCAAAAAGAATGAGGTTAGTTCATGGAGGTGAGGTCCATCAATGGCTATCAGCCAGGATGGGCATGGATGGTGTCCCTAGTCTTTGTTTGCCAAAAGCTGGGAATTCTGGGCTAGATGGATCTCTGGTCTGACCCAGTATGGCTCTTTGTGTGTGTGTGTGTGTTTAATGGTCTCAGAGTATGTCTCTCTTTAAGTCTTAACTTTTTTTTTAACTATGAACAGAAAAAATGCATGAAGTCAGCTTCAAGGATAAAGAGAAGGAACATCTGACCCTGCTTCAAGATGCAGAAGAAATGAAGGTAGCATTTCCAGCCACAACTGTAGATGGTTCCTCACCAAGAACATTTGTCAAACTGACAGTTAAGACTGAATTGTGCTTTCAGATGCACATGTGATGCACATTGATTTTTAATAAACTTGTATAGGCTACGAGAGCCATAAACTTCTATTAGGAAACCCATATGCTACAAAGGAGTGACTTTTCTGATTTGAAAGGGAAGAGCTTGACAATGTTAAGCAATAAAATTGAAGTTGTAGGGGTGGGGCAAAAGTACATTCTAGACAAAACATTGGAGGAGAATGGTTTAGAAGTTGATCTAACTTCAAAAAAATGAAAAAATGGAAATTGTTCCCTGACCTACACATACAAAAATTAGCCTGATTCATCACTGCATTACATCAGGCTTATACCAGAGAAACCTATTGTTGTAAACTAGTTAAGTGGTAAATCAGGCCTTTTGTATGAATATGATTTTTATACTGGAATTTAATAATGAATGGCCAGATCATATTTAAGGAATTGCTCAGTCATCTGGAAAGAACTTTGAATACCTCCCCCTAGAAATGGCCTAATGAAATATAAAGCCTTTCTGTTTGTACGTAGAATATGGGGAGGAAATATTAACCAATAACATAGAGAACTGGTATGTTTTTCTGATGAGGATTATAATTTGTGTTCATGTGTGGGAGAAATCCTGTGTTTAACAAGAGTAGCAAATTATCTTTTAGATTTTTGACCTCTGATTCTAAAACCTAAGTTTAATGATTAATTTAAATAGTCATGCGGAATTATTCTATGTTTGATGTGAAGAAACATGTCCTATATAACATCAAACGAAAAAGAGAGAATAAAAATGTAGCTTTCCCAATTATTTGAAGTATTTCTAGCTCTAGGAGTTCAGCAGTAGTGTCATGGGAAAACTTCTTCCTCCCTCTTACCTCCTGCCCTTAGATGCACAAATACAGTAGTTTAAAAAAAAAACCCAAACAGGTAAACAGATGGGTACAATGGTATGGAAGATGTCAGAAACATCTGTAATTCTTGTGGTATGCTTAGTAAAATACACTTGGCATCTTCATGTATCTGAGGAAGAGAAATCCTGGATTCGCAACAAAACCCAAATATATTGTCCTGAATCAAGCAGTTGGTGCAGTAGATGGTACTGCTATCTATATGAATCAATGTTAAGGAAAGTTCTAATGAGATTTGGATTTTAAATCTGAAACCATAGATTTGACTTTTCTCATATGTACTCACAGGCATTAGTAAAAGCAGATAAACCATTGAAATACCCTTTTTTTTTAAACTTAGAATGCATTGGAGCAGCAGATGGAGAGTCACAGGGAAGCCCACCAGAAACAGCTGTCCAGACTACGAGATGAGATTGAAGAGAAGCAGAAAATCATTGATGAAATCAGAGAGTATGTTTTCTTACTGTTTCCCTGTCATTCAACCCTTTTCTGTACTGTTCTAATGACATTGTAAGATAGTTCTTCCTTCTATATCTATGTATCTCAAGAGTTCTCCTAGCACTAGAACTCTTAGAATTCTGACTTTAGAAACTAGCATGTACCAGGTACCCTAATAGCTATTCTGTACTGATTTTGAAGGTCCAGGGATAAAATGAATAGCATATTAGGGATTAAACTGTATTCCTTTTTATATATGTACTTCAATAAAAAGAATTGTGGAGGAGAGGAAGAAGGATAAATAATGTTATGCCTAAAGACACATAGATAATAGAAAGAGTAGATGAGAACAAATTGGAAAAATAAAGGCTTTGAACACCTGTCAAGGTGACTCGTCCTGTCATGGCCTTTCTGGGTCTTCAAACTCCCTCTAGAAAGTCAATTCCAGCTGCTTTCCTGTTCCAGCACTTTGGGTATCTTTTCTTGGCATCACCAGTTTCAATATATATTGGACAATGAAGTACCCCAAAACCACATTGAAGCCAAGTCTGTGTTTCTAGTGCATGATTCTGCACTGGAATTGTCTTTCAGTAGCATGATGATGTAAAATACAGCATGGGACACTGTGCTCCTTACTGCTGTACTTTTGGTTCTGGAAATAGTTCTTTAACATTGTCTCATCCAAGTGTAATGCTCATATTTTCCATTCCATCTTTAAAAAGGATGAGGCATGATAACAGGAAATGAGGAATGTGAAAACAGAGTCACTAATTACAGATTGTGCCATTGAGGTATAAAAGGCACGTTGAGGGAAGTGATGAGATGTTTTGTATATTCTGTTCCCTCAAAAATTTAAATCAAGGTCACTTTTCTGGTTAAGGATTCTTTATGGTTTAGTATAAATTCCAGATTCTCTCAAAGGAACTGCAGGTTCATTTTCTGTGGGTAACACTATTCTGGATGTAAAGGTTTCTCTAGGTGTTTTATGACAATGGTCTGTAGCAAGCTGGATGGGTTTCTCCCCTTCTCATTTCAGTATGAACCAGAAGCTGCAATTGGAACAAGAGAAACTGAGCTCTGATTATGATAAATTGAAAATAGAGGATCAGGAAAGAGAAATGAAACTGGAAAAGCTCATGTAAGTTTGCGGCCTTCTCTGATCTCTTTGAGCTTTGTCTCTGTATGTAGTCATAATTACAGACTAGCTGCACCTCTGGTCCCTTTCTGATCTCTGAGTGCACCTGCTCAGGTGATGGGCCTTATTTGTCTTGGGGGTGGTGAAAGCACACAGTTCTTCCGTTCTTAAATTGTTACCCTTTCCATATCAGCCACTTAGATGGGAAGGAAGGAACAGTGATTAGGATACTGGCTAGCACTTGGAGACATACAGCCAACAGACTTCTTAGGTGACCTTGGGCAAGTCACTTTGCCGACCTTGTCTCATTTGCCCATCTGTAAATTGTGGATAATAGCACTTTCCTACTTTCCAGGGTGTTGTGAGGATAAATATGCTGAAGACTGAGGTGCTCAGATATGATGGGAAAGGGGAAAGCCATCTAGGTACCACAGAAGAGGGACTGTCATTTGGCAGGTCCAGTGTGGTTTCAGGGATAAGTAATACGGTGACCAGCAGCCTTCTTGAAACACAGCATTTTTACTTAACAACTGGATCAAAGCATTAGAGAAAAGTGGATTTTAAAACAATGTGCAAACATGTCTATCTTAGTTAATGTATTATCATCCCATAATACATGGTAACTGAGGCAAGCCTAGCTTCTTCAGATATCTGTAGAGTTCGAATGCATCTATCAGGTTTCTTCTTCGCACCCTCAAGAGAGTCCTTTAAAGCCATACCTGGATTAGTTGGTAGGAGGTTCTTTTTCCAGAGGTTACTTCAAGTCTTGGCCAGCTTTGAACCATCCTGGTCAAACCAATTCTATAAGTTGTCCAAGAACATGCCAAAGTGAGAGCTAGTTAAGGAGTTGTCCCTTAACAACTTCCTGCCTGCTTGACCCATCCCAGATTGTCTCTTAGTAAGAAAAGAAGCATTTACACCAAAATATGCGTATGGAAGACACCATCCTGATAAACCAGATCAACATACAAATTACAGGGTACCCCATACTGGTTATCATTTGTTTTTTGTTTTGTTTTTGTGTGTGTCAAAACAAGCTTTTCAGAGTTCTAGTTGTGTTACCTTGTGCAAGGAAATACAATAAACAAGGCATTTTCAGTGTAAGATTGTAGTTTGGCTGCTTGTACTGTAAAAACAGTCTACCACTAACAATCTCCTAGTTGCTTTTTTGGGTTTTTCTCAGACTTTCCAGAAAATCTAGAAAATCAAATTTTCAAATACAGTTACAAGAGATGTCTGCCTAAATGGAGGTGGTGGTCCCATCACTTCAGCTGAAAAACCCTGCGTAGATTTGCAATTGCCCAAACTGCATGCATATAAACAGGCAAATGTGGACCCAGCTGTTCTGCCCACATCTGAAAACTTTGATGCTATTCTGTTTCATGTTCTTTTATTTTGATGGTTTGTTGTTGTTTGGCTTACATAATGGTCTCTCTTTTTAGATTGCTTAATGATAAAAGGGAACAAGCAAGAGAAGATCTTAAAGGACTGGAGGAAACTGTGGTACGTTAAAAACTTAAACGTGAGGTTTTTTGCAAGGGGTTAGGAAATGGCTTGTTGCCAGCCTTTTTGCGTGTGATTGTTGCCCACAACATTTTTGCAAGAAAATGTCTGGCTTAGGTGAGAAGTTTTTTTAAAAAGGAGCGCATTTTCAAACTCTCCTCCAGTCTTGAACTTGATTTGAATGTTTGGAATCTGTACCAACCCACTTTTGCCCATCTGTAGATTAGACTTTATTTCTAAATTTCCTAAAGCTATTTTGCTAATCTGTTTGCTTACCGTCCTACATATATTTATCTCAAATGGCTCACTCTACAAGTCTTTCAGTGTTGAAATGTTGATCTTCTCTAGTCCGACGCTTTTGAAACCTGACCATTGCTGAACTGTGGGAAAGTTGGTCACACTTGTTATGGATATCTAGCTAACTAAAATCATGCAAGACCATGGATGTTGCCAGACGAGTGTGTGCCAGACTGGAGAGGTTCAACCTATACCCGATATTTATGATTTAATACTTCCTAACCCATGTATTGAGCAAATGAAATTAAAATTTCCCAGAGAGGTTAATAGGAGGATAATAAGGAAATATTAGGAGTCAGTAAGAACTAGAGATCAGATCTAGGTTAATGAAAAACTAGGGGTCACCAAATGAAATTAATAGGTAGCAGAATTAAAACAAATAAAAATTATTTCTTCATGCAAGACACAGTCCTTGTCAAAGGATGTTATGAAGACCAAGACGTTAACAAATATAAAAGATCTAGTTAAATTCATGGAGGTTAGGTCCATCAATGCTTATTACACAGGATGGGTAGGAATGGTGTCCCTAGCCTATATTTGTCAGAGGCTGGAAATGGGTGAGAGGGAAGGGATCACTTGATGATTCCCTGTTCTGTTCATTCCCTCTGGGGCATCTGGCATTGGCCACACTGTCAGAAGGCGGGATACTGTCTAGATGGACCATTGATCTGACCTAGTTTAGCCGTTCTTCTGTTCGTAGTACTTTGTCACTGTGCAGTCCATATAATCCTTTGTAAAATGCATTATGCTCTGCAGTCAGCGTTGAAAGGACACATCATTGGAAAACTAGTTCTGTCTTCAGATCAGTGCAATGATGGTGGCTTGATAAGTCTTTAGCAATGTCAATGGCTGTAATAAAGAGGAAAATGATTACTTGTGTGGCATGTCTTCTCAAGATAGGACAAAAAGTAATAGACTTACTCTGCAACAAGGAAAATTTTAGGTTTTACATTTAGGAAAAACTTTCTAACTATAAGGATAGTTAAGCCCCAGAGCTTTCAAGGGTGTTTGTGGAATACCTATCACTGGAGGTTTTTATGAACAGGTTGGACAGACACCTGTCAGGGATAATGTAATTATATTTGGCCCTGTATCAGGACAGGGGGCTCCTGCGTTGCCTTCCTGCCCTGTATTTCTATAATCTAAGAAGGAGCAAATTGTATGGTAGAGTAACGTGTTAGGTTTTTATGTCTGAAAACTGGATCTAAAGGAGAAATAAATTTGGTGGCGTTTCTCATAATGCCAAATGGACATTGATGTGTTCCACAAGACTACAATATAGTTTTTTTTTCTGCTCAAATTTGGAATAGCAGAGGTAGTTCAGGAAAGCTGTGTACTCTGAGCTATGTGATGAAACTTGTTCAGCTCTTGCCAACAACTTGTCTGGCTTTAGCCAGTTTTGTTTTTCCCTTTACCTTCTTGAGCAAAACACTAAAATGATATCTTTTAAACTTTTTACAGAACTTTGGATTGTTATACTAATTCTCCCAGTTGCTGTATAAGTTGACTAACTCTATCCAAATGATTATTTTGAGTTGAAGAAGCATAATTGCTTATATAGTTAATTTTTTCCCAGTGGAGCATAATTTTAAATGAGGCTGCATTAACACACTGGTAACAAATAGTAAGAATTACCTGTGATGATATTGTCCTGTTCAGTGAGTAAGTGATAGAGCTGGAGCTTAGTTTTAAGCAGTGGGAGAAAGAAGCAGTGCAAAATGTCCATCAGATGGTGTTTTTTGTTTTAATTAAAGGAACTACTTAAACTGTTGTACATTTATGCACTCTTTTGCTCATTCCTATGGCATCTCAGAGGGTGTTGCATGAGTTATTTTAAAATAATATTAGCAATTATCAAAATTTCAATACGTAATTACTGCAACAGAACGAAAACGCAAATAGAAGAGATTACATACAATGTGCCATTTTAGACCAAGATCATGGCTCTCTCATGTAGACAAAATAAGGGAGAGTAAACCTCTGCAAGTTAGGGATATAAGACTTTAACCGGTTAACCAATAAGCTGATGCTTATCTGTTCCTGTTAACTGTTAAACTCCATTGGGTTGCCAGCAGTGGGGCCAGGGACTACTACATGTCAGCAGCCCCATGGTTAACAGTGTAACCAATATAATTTTTATCAGTTGTTCGACTACTATTTTTATAAATTGTTTTACACACCTCTTAGGTCATTGTGTGAGGAGAGGGAGCACTATCTTCATGGGATGGTTGTTTCCCTGTCCTGTGCAGTATGTGAGCGGGACTGGGGGATGGGCATAGCCTTGACTTGGCCCTCAACTTTCACCAGCACAGTTGTGCCAGTGTGGTGAGAGATATGATCCGTAGTGAATTGCTTTCAGAGTGGAACCAATGAAGGAATTGTGATGGACGGGGGCATGGGGCTTAGGGCTAACCCCACCCTCCGCAGGTCCTGCCCAACCTCTGCTCTACCATCGTCTCCCACCTCCCCCAAGCTCTGCCACTGCTCTGCCCCCTTACCCCATCTTCTGTGTGACACAAACTGGGGGTATTATAGAGGGCCGGTAGCAGCTGGAGTCACCCTACTTTCCCCCCACTCGCTGTAACAGAGGGAGCTGGAGCAGTCCCACTGCCTGCTCTGCTGTGCTGTGCCCCCCCCCCCCCCCCCCCCCCGCCCCCCCGGCCCCTCACTC